TTTTTTTTTGCCTAGGGCCACATGTTCCGGACTCCGCGCATCAATTCCGTTTTTCCGAAAAGCGCGGGAGCGGCCCATTTTCGCGTTTAACGCAAATTCAACGGGATTTTTTTGAATTTAACGGGATTCAACGGGAGCGTAATTCCCCCAGTTCTCCGTTAAAAAGACACACAGGCTGTCTTTATCACCCTATTTGCGTTTTCTACCAGCCCGTTGGATTGTGACATGTGGGGCGCGGTATTCCGCACAGCGACACCGTGTAAGACCAGATTCCTCAAGACTTCCCTTCTGAATTCCGTCCCGTTATCGGTGAGGATCTCTTCTGTGTTCTAGTGCATCCCGAGAAAACGGTTAACATACCGCGAGAATTGGCGGCTTGCCGCGTGCGACACGTGTAAGCCTCGATCCATTTCAAAAAATGGTCGACAAATACCAACAGTACTGAGTACTCACAACTATTAGGACTAGGAGGTACCACGGTATCGGTAGTATCTATGCTTACCCTTTGAAACGGCCGCTCAACTACCGTTGGTACTATCGATCTCGGCGGTTGGATCGGCGCCTTGTCAGCAGCGCAGACTTGACAGTTCTGGACGATGAACTTAACATCGTCGCGGATATTGGACCAATACCACTCGTTCTTGTCGATCGCTGCCTCCGTGATCCATACGGCAAAGTGGGCAGCCGTTTCCTCGTGTTCTGTCTTCACCAGCCGTTTCCTTGTGCGCCTTGTCAGGGGCTCAGGATACGTCATGAGGCGGAACTTCTATCCGTAGAGATATGGATGGAAGTGTTGGATTCCCCAGACTACTGCATAGCATTCACCTTGTGGTGCTGATTCATTCCTTCGTTCGTCTGGCACCGTTCGTGACGCGTACTCGATGACGTGTTCGCAACCATCGTTCCCCTTCTGCGCTAGAATGGCGGAGATCGCTTCCGGTTGCCAGTCCGTTATAAGAATGAATGGTTTGGTAGGGTCCGGCCGAATCAAAAATGGTGCAGAGGCCAAGGCCTCCTTGAGTGTGTCAAAGGCTTGCTCGCACTCAGCGTCTCACTGCAGAGGCCGGTCCTTCCGAAGCAGGCTCTTGAGAGGCCGAGCAATCACCCCAAAACCTTTGATAAAACGGCGGTAGTACGATGCCAGGCCTAAGAAGTCTCAAACCTGCGTCAGCGACGTGGGAACTGGGGCTTCTTTTACGGCCGCAACGTTCCTTGAATCCGGTCGCAGCCCTCCATGTGTCACTACGTACCCCAAGAACGAAATTTCCGAGAGGAAAAATTCGCTCTTCTCGAGTGCAATCCTGAATCCAGCATCCCTTAGTGTTCCCAACGTCCATTCGATGTGTTGCGCATGTCCATGATCGGTCTCTGAGTAAACAAGGATATCATCCATGTACACGATCACGCAGAAGTTGATCATTCCCTGAGTCAGCCGTGTCTTGTTGACGAAGTTCTGGAACGTCACGTTCATTGCTCGTTGAAACGTGGCAGGCGCGTTGCAAATTCCCATCGGACATCGAACCCACTGCCACGTGCCTTCGAACAACACGAGACAACACGAACGCCGTTTTCGACCGATCTTCCTCCTTAACCAGAATGTAATGGAAGCCATACCGAATATCAAACTTGCTGAAATAATTAACACATCCAGTCGCATCCAGCAAATCATCAATCCGGGGGAAGGGATACACATCTTTAATCGTGATGTCATTCAGTTTGCGATAATCGATGCATATGAGGATCGATCCGTTCTTTTTGGGCACCAATACCACAGGAAAAGACCACGGTTCCATAGCCGGTTCAATCCATCCATTAGCTTCAAATTCCCTAATTCGTTGCAAGGCTATCCTTCGTTCAGTTAGGGAGTATCTGTAGGGTTTGCAATGGACCGGGGGATGGTTTCCTGTCTGGATCTCATGTTGTATGACCATCGACAAGCCGATGTTAGTGTCTGTCACACTAATCGTTCCCTGATATTCCGTTAGAATGTCCGCAATCAAACGATGAATCTCATCAGGTACGTACTGCGGAACGTGCAATTCATAAGGCTGATCCCAGATCTGTACGTTGATCTGCTTCGTGCGTGTTTGTTTCACCGCCTCGGGTGGTGGCACAGAGATAAACGAATGGTCCGATCGCGAGGAGAACACCGTGACCATCATTCGGGTGTTTTCCTCCCGGATGGCCACATGTCCTTCCAAGGTGATTCCATCG